TTGCCAACCTCACCAATCAAATGGCCTCCATCCAAACCACCCTCACCCAACTACCCACCACTATCCTAGCCCAAATCCCCCAACCTACTCCTCCACCCCAACCTCCTTCTGCAGGCCCATCCTTTGATGAAGCCTTCTCCTCATTCACTGCAGAGTTGAGAGACCTCATCACCAATCTTTCCATCCCTCCATATATATCCACCAACACCTCCATACCACCACAAGCCTCATCCTCCTCCACCGAGTTCGCAACTAGAGCTGACCTACGGGCTCTGTCCAAGGCGCTAGTCTCATCTTTCAATGAGATTAGTGCCAAATTCGTTCATCGGGCCATCCATCCAACAAGGATTCTCTCCCAGAACTTGGCCGATAAACAACGGCGCACCACCTCTCTCCCCCAAACAATGGAGGCGAGTCGAAGACAAGCAGCCCTGAAGGCGTATCTTGCGTCCTTCAGGAAGGACAAAAAGAAGAAAAGGAGCAGAGCCTCTTGCTCCAGCAGCCGCCAACACAAAAGGCCAAGGCATAAAGACCAAGACCCCGATGATCAAGGTCTTGGACCTCATGAAGGGAACCAGAGGCTCTGCCCTCTGAAGATGTACAATATGTACAAGTTCCCTTCGCTGCAACCCAAGAACCCATCGTGTTGAGTTCCTCAACCGATGAAGAGCCAATCACCCCACCAACCGAAATAAACCAACCTTCATCACCCACACCAAACTTACCTTTAACCCCTTCACCAACCCTTCGCACCATAGAACCTTTCACCTTATCCATACAACCAGAACCAACAATAATCCAACCTTCATCACCCCAACAACCACAAACCCAAACAGAACCCCATGTACTAGAAACCACCCAAGCCGAACCCAATGAACCACAACCAACCCAAGCTGAACCAACTCAACAAGAAACCATACCCTCACCAACTCATACACAACCCTCAACCCAACCACCCGTGGTCCATGCGGATACTCCCTTTTCATCAAGGCAACCTCCTTAGAGCCTGGTAGATGAGATTATACAGAGCATGGACTCGATGCGGAGATGTCCTGAATTGCCACCCAGGGAACCAATTATGATGGAAAACATCCATCAATACCTGTACGAAGACCGCGATGAAAGTTTGACCATCAACCCTCCGATCTTATCACCTGAGTCCATGGACCTCTTACACCATAGATTCATTAGACAGACCATACAAGCACCTCAGGCTATCTTCTCGAATGATGGGATAAGGAGGGTCATGGATCTGAAAGTAAGGACATTTGCCAACCGAGCCATTCGATACATCGAGTTCACATTGGAGAGAGCACATGGGCAAGTTAACGTATTCAACGAAAACGACCTCATTAATCTCAATCCATATGACTTGATTGAATTATACGCATACATGGCTCAAAAGTAGGACCACGACATCAGGTATGGAATGGCGAATCGAGCGATAGTAAAAACGATGGAAACCCTGGTGAACCATAGAGCCAAGAGTGATTTTGAAATTGCTCTTGGGCTAGGCATTGAAAGACTATCCTGCGCTCCACCAAACGAAGACTTCCAAGGCCTGCAGGAGAAAAGATCTGCCTCAGTCCTAACTCAACCCGAACTTGGACTTGTTTACAAGAATGAGTTTGGGGTTAAAAATTCTTTAGACTAACTGAGGCCTTCAAGTATTCATCGGATACACTTGAATGGTTTCATAAAGTCATTAGAGAAAGACTGGGCAGAAACCACGTGCCAAGAGAAGAAGGGAGTCTGCTCATTCATGAGATATCGATAATCATCGGCTATCGAAGACTGCTCCTGTGCTTCTGAGAAATATATCAAGGTAGCTCATGATGAGTTGTATTTTTTTGTTTTGTCTTGATGTCTTTTGATTCCAGTATTGTAAGAATTTCATCATCCAATGAAAATTTGGAATTTGATGTTTTTCTATTAGATTAGTCTCTGTTCTTCACGGTTGTTTCTAGATTAGTCTATGTTTGTTATTTCATTA